AATGCCACACCAGGCTCTGGGAGGATACTCTCCAGCCCAGTTCTGAACACGCACTATAGGAAAAACAACTGGCCAAATCAAAAACCAGGTGAAGGAAATCTGCAGCTACAGAAACCCAGGAGCTGACACTGATGTTTATGGGCTTTACAAAATGTTACTTTTGTAGTAATTTAAGAGATGATTTAATCCCCTGAATCAAACATCACAACTCCCAAAGCTTAAGAATATCCTCTGAGAAAGGCAGATGGGTGGGAAGAGCGAGGGGGGTGAGACCAAATCAAAAACCAGGTGAAGGAAATCTGCAGCTACAGAAACCCAGGAGCTGACACTGATGTTTATGGGCTTTACAAAATGTTACTTTTGTAGTAATTTAAGAGATGATTTAATCCCCTGAATCAAACATCACAACTCCCAAAGCTTAAGAATATCCTCTGAGAAAGGCAGATGGGTGGGAAGAGCGAGGGGGGTGAGAGGAGCCAGCCTGTTTGCACACTCCTGCCATCTCCTCCCACAGGACCCAAAGCTGATCAGAAAAGCTCATCTGCAAAGCCCCTCAAAAGGTGCCCCTGCCTGAGCAGCTCCAGCCATGGTTCTCTCTGCACACACTCCTTTTATCTCAGCCTCTTCAGCATCAAAGCTTCCAGAGAATAAACCCAGGTACTAGTAAGTGACCCAGACACTTAATCTAATCTGTGAGACCTCTGGCTTCTCTGCTGCTGGAAGCAGACACCACACACAGCTTGCAGAGAAGCCTTAAATGAAAGCTATCCAAGAGATACTGAAACTGAGAAGGATCAAAACCAAAAAAATCTGTCTGATTGCAGAGGAACTACACTTTACCTTGGGGTTTGTTCAAGCAGAGCTAACAGCTCTCCTGGCTGGGAGGAGCTGGGTGAGCAGCAAAGCCTTTCCCCAGCCCTCCTGTCCACTTCACCTTCCTGCTTCTCATCTCCACCTTGCCCAGAGCAGGCACAGCTCACTTGGGCAGAAGTGAGCTGCAGGAGCAGAGACATGTCAAGACAAAATTCCCCCTGGAATTCCAGAAGAAAGGGTGGGAGGAAAGGGGACATGACAGGGGACCCTGCGGGGAACCCACAGGGACCTAGGGAGGTTACCAAGGTCAGTCACCAAGATGTGCCTCTGCCCAAGCCAAACAAACCCTGTGCAGACAGGATCTGTGAGGAGCTCATCTAAGAGCTCACCGTAGGTGGGTAAAAAGCAGGAGCATGTGGAGAACCCACACTGGGAGGCACAGAGCTGTGGGTGCTGGAGGCAGAAAACTCCAATATTCTGTGATTTGAGGAATTACCCCACGTCTCCTGAGAGAAAAGACAAGAAATGTGGTGTGAAAGGAGGAGGAGGGAGGAGTGGACCCTCCAGGGGCTGCCCTGTCCAGGGGACTCCCTGCTGGCCCCTCAGCAGTCTCCCTCCCTGCTGACACAGGGAGCAGCTGAAGGGATCAAGATTGTTTTTCCAGCTCTTTTGATAAAAAGCCACAACTCCCACTCTGAGCAAAACCAAAAGCTGTGCTGGAAAAAAATCAGCAACTGAAATAGTTTCAAGCAATGAAAACTGGAAGGAGAAACCACAGCAGCCTGTGGTCTGCAGGCAGCTTTCAGCCAAAGCCTTTCAGGAACACAGGGTGACACTGGCCTGCTGGCACCAGGGGAGCTGCTGGGGCTCAGCACAGACCTGCTCATCACCCCAGGACACCACGTCCAGCCTGCTCTTCAAGATCATTTGGCATCTGAAAAAAAATGCCTTCCATGCAGCATTTCCAAGCCTTCAGCTGCTCACACTCATCTGGTGAAAGCAAAGGTTTGTAAGAAACAGGGAAGTTTCAGTGGCACAAAAGGCTTCTTGCTCCCAACAGAGAAGGAAAGAGACAATACATTTTTAAGGCAGCCCTTGAAATGTTCAGTCTGCAAACCCCCTATGGGGCTCATATCCCACTGGCCTCTGGGCTACACGTCTCTAATCTGACATTTCTCTCCACTTGGGCCACCCAGGCACCCTAGGGCAGCCCTGATGCAGGAGCACAGGTAAAGGCAGGGTGCTGCAGAGCCTGGTAATTACAGCAGAAACAAAGAGCATCTTGGCTGCCCCCCGCTGGGAAGGGCTCCCACCCCCCAGCCTGCTCCAGCAGACAGCTTGATCAAATCTCAGCTGTCAGGAACCAGATTCCCCTTCCAGCCCTTCCCAGCAAGGGATTTCAATTAAATTAAGGAGCTAATAAAGACATCCCAGACACTGCCAGCCTCACAACTACTTAATTTTCCTAGAAGTACAGGTAATTATCTGCTCACTGCACGTTTAACACCAACCACCTGACTCCAGACCCCCATTCCCACCACCTTTTTGCCACCTCCTCTTTGAAGTTTCTTCATCCACCTCAAGCAAAGCCCTTCTCAGGCTGCACAGACACAAGCTCCAGTTCCTTTTCCCAGCCAAGCAGCCAGTCCTGGTTGGTGGCCATCCCCTCCAGGGACACTTATTGCTGGAAGCTCCTATTATTAA